TCAAAATTTAAAACAACCTCGGAAAAAAATAAGCATTTTTTACACATTCTGATGTAATTTTCTCGAAAACTATGCAAGATAATTCCATGGAAATCACCATACATTCGTTTCTGCACAAGATCTTGATCCCTGCTGAAAATTGCCAGAATCGGTCCACAATTTCATATACCTCCCATACAAAAGTACATATTCCCGGAAAATGGGTTTTTTGTTAATAACTTCCGCCACAATGTCGATATCTTCACAAAATTTTACAAATTAAAATCTTGTGTCAATAGAATTCTTTCAGAGGAAAAATTTTATGGATCGGTCCATAATTGGACATAGCTCCCATACAAGGTCCCCTCCCGAAAATCACTTAAAGGCGCATAACTCATTACTAAATTAAGATATCCAAATAAAATTTGGTATAAGTATTGTCCATATGCATAGAAATATTACTGTGAAATTTTTTTCCGATCGGTCCATAATTGGTCATAGCTCCCATACAAGGTCCCCTCCCGAAAATCACTTAAACGCACATAGCTCAGTACTAAATTAAGATATCCATATAAAATTTGGTACAAATACTACTCATACGCACAGAAATATTGTTGTGAAATTTTTTTCCGATCGGTCCATAATTGATCATAGCTCCCATACAAGGTCCCCTCCCGAAAATCACTTAAACGCGCATAACTCATTACTAAATTAAGATATCCAAATAAAAATTGGTACAAGTATTGCCCATATGCATAGAAATATTACTGTGAAAGTTTTTTTCCGATCGGTCCATTATTGGTCATAGCTCCCATACAAGGTCCCCTCCCGAAAATCACTTAAACGCACATAGCTCAGTACTAAATTAAGATATCCAAATAAAAATTGGTACAAGTATTGCCCATATGCATAGAAATATTACTGTGAAATTTTTTTCCGATCGGTCCATAATTGGTCATAGCTCCCATACAAGGTCCCCTCCCGAAAATCACTTAAGCGCGCTTAACTCATAACTAAATTAAGATATCCATATAAAATTTGGTACAAATATTACTCATATGCACAGAAATGTTGTTGTGAAATTTTTTTCCGATCGGTCCATAATTGATCATAGCTCCCATACAAGGACCCCTCCCGAAAATCACTTAAACGCGCATAACTCATTACTAAATTAAGATATCCAAATAAAAATTGGTACAAGTATTGCCCATATGCATAGAAATACTGTGAAAGTTTTTTTCCGATCGGTCCATAATTGGTCATAGCTCCCATACAAGGTCCCCTCCCGAAAATCACTTAAACGCACATAGCTCAGTACTAAATTAAGATATCCAAATAAAAATTGGTACAAGTATTGCCCATATGCATAGAAATATTACTGTGAAATTTTTTTCCGATCGGTCCATAATTGGTCATAGCTCCCATACAAGGTCCCCTCCCGAAAATCACTTAAACGCGCATAACTCATTACTAAATTAAGATATCCATATAAGGTTTGGCACAAGTATTACTCATATGCACAGAAATATTACTGTGAAAATTTTTTTCGATCGGTTCATAATTGGTCATAGCTCCCATACAAGGTCCCCTCCCGAAAATCACTTAAACGCGCATAACTCATCACTTAATTAAGATACCCATATGGCACAAGTATTACTCATATGCACAGAAATATTACTGTGAAAATGTTTTCGATCGGTCCATAATTGGTCATAGCTCCCATACAAGGTCCCCTCCCGAAAATCTCTTAAACGCGCATAACTCATCACTTAATTAAGATACCCATATGGTACAAATATTACTCATATGCACAGAAATATTACAGATAATTTTTTTTCCGATCGGTCCATAACTGGTCATAGCTCCCATACAAGGTCCCCTCCCGAAAATCACTTAAACGCACATAACTCATTACTTAATTAAGATATCCATATAAAGTTTGGCAGAAATATTGCTCATATACAGAGAAATATTACTGTGAAATTGTTTTCCTATCGATCCATAATTGATCATAGCTCCCATACAAGGTCCCTTTCAGAAAAGCACATAAAGGCACATAACTCATTACCAAATAATGATATAAATAAATACTATTTTTGTTCAAAAATATTATTTTGTAATGCAAAAAGCACTTAATGCTATTTCAAAAATTTTTCACGATCGGTCTATATTTGGTCATATCTCTCATACTAGGTCCTGCCCCTAAAAGCGCTTTAACCGTATTTAACTATTTGCATTATCAATTTGTGTAGAACAAAATTATATATATGTATGTATTTTTAAAATCCTTAAATCTTTCACACACATGCATACATTCAAATACGAGATATCGCTAAAGCATATCTTAGGGCGCTATAAAAATTTAAATGAAAGTGGCGTTTCTAATGTTCAATAAATCTTGGAATTGTAGTAGTTTTAAGCTGTCTAAATCTTGGGATTTTTTTATTTAAGACATGAGAAAACTTATTTCTACAAATATTTTATTAATTAGAAATGTATTAATACAAAAGTTGCTGGTGGAGGGTATTTAAGATTCGGCTCAGCCGAATATAGCACTCTAACTTGTTAATTATTAAAATTACAATAACATTTCTCATCTAACCGCAGAAGTTTCTAATAAACCAACACTCTTGCACTTTAAGATACAACCCCTTAAAGTGCATAACAAACCTTTTAAAATCTTTTGGGTTTAGGTGACAAAGTTATTTGTAGTTTTATATATTTTTATTTAATTTATTTTAATTTTTGTTTGTTTATCTTTCTATAAATTTCGTTTGATTTTTTTTAAGTTAATTAAATTTTAATACTAAGCTCAGTTAATTACACAATAAAAATGTAGTTTTATAACAATTTTAAATGTACTTTTAATTACTTATTAATTTATTTATATAATTTTTAATTAATTTTTTTTTTTGTTTGTTTTGGTTTTAATAGTATAAAAAGGCTAAGTTTAACAATTGAATAGGAATATATTTATTTATTTTTTAAAAAAAAATCTAAATTATTTATAATAATATTGTATTTTGTAAAAACAACAACAAAAGCCACAACAACCCTGGTTAGAATAAAAAAAATATTATGCAAATCACATCCTGATGTTTCATTCTTAAAGCGTTTCGTTTTTTGTTTAAGAAAAAGGAACAGTTCATAGACTAGACTAAAGTCCACACCATAGACCAGACCTTAGACCGGATCATTGACCAGGCCATAAACCAGACCAAAGACCACAACATAGATCAGACCATAGACAAGACCACAGACAAAACCATAAACAAGACCATAGACCACATCATAGAAAATACCTTAAACCAGCTTATAGATTAGACGATAGACCAGACCATTTACCAGACATTAGACCAGACCAGACTATAGACCAAACCATAAGCCAGAACATTGAACAGACTAGATCATAAACCGGAACATAGACCAGATCATAGAACAGACCATTGACCTGACCACAGATCAGACTATAGATCAGACTAAATATAGACTAGGTTATGGGCCAGAACGTAGATCAGACGAAACGAGACTAGGTCATAGACCAAGACTTAGACCAGACCATGAACCACACCATAGATCAAGCTATAGATGAGACCATAGACCAGACCATAGACAATATCATAGTCCAGACCATAGACCATAAGACCAGAAGACACACCATAGACCATATTATAGTCCAGACCACATACCAGACTATACAACAGACTTTATTCGGACACATAAATATAGGAAAGAATTATTGAAATTTAAGGAATTCAGATTCAAAGTCAAATTGAAATTATAAAAAAAAACCATCTCAAAAATTTACTCAAAAGCTCTGCTCCAAAATCCGGTTTCCATTAACAAGATCTTTGTTTTAGTCTATACAGCCTATTACCTCCCAATATGATTTCAGTTTAAGCTAAAGAATTGCAACTTTATGCATGAAATTAACAATTTTACACAAACAAATTAAAATCCTTTTTCTTGTCTCTAAAGGGACATGTTGCTTATATGTACATGTCAATCAGACCAATATCTCATGTTTCCGTTGCAACACTTACATATAACTGAATGTATGTTTGTTTCAATGTATATGTATACAAATGCTTTAGAAACTTTTAAGACACTTAACAAAATAATGAATAGATAACACACACACACACAACACTATCATTGATGGTCTGACAATAATTATAGTGTTGTTGTTGTTGCTGTGGTAACATGTAAACTTTGATGTTGCAATATTGTAACATCATTGTCATACTTGTAATCATTAATATTGTCATCATCATTATAAGCAGCAGCAGCAAGAGCAATAGCTGCTGCACCATCATCATTTATATTACAATTTGCATTTAACATTTTTTGTTTATGTGGCATATAAATTTGATGATCTATTGTGGAATCTTGTCGAACAACAGCAACTAATAAAGTTGGTTGTAAAGAAGAAGAATTTTTCGATTTCAATTTAGATTTATCACAATGATTTAATAAAATGTTTTGTTGCTGTTGCTCATCATGATGATAACGATTTTGTTTTAAATTTAAACTATGATGACGTTTTAAACTACCTAAAATACTATTAAATAATGATGTAGATGTTTTTGTTTTTGCTGTCGTTGTTGTTGTTGTTGCTAATGTTGATGTTTCTGTAGCTGCTGTTTCAGTTGCTGTATTATACCATTTCCTGTTATTGTTATTATTGTTAATACTCTGTTTACTTTTAGCTGTACTTGGTATTTCTTGGCTACAAGTAGCAGCTATTTTAGTTTCAGAGTATTCATGTTTATCTTTGTAGCAATTATTATCAGTACTGTAATTATCTTTATAATGTGTTTGACACTCATTTTTAAAATCGCTGTTCTTATGTTTAAGCTTAATATCTAAATGACAAATACCTTCTACAGCATTAGTTGCTCCCTTAACTTCGTTTTCGTCTTTAGCCAACAGTTTATTACCCTTCTGTTGCTTTTCAGCAGTTAAGTCCTCCTGAGCCCCCTCTTCCGGCTCTTCATCCTCTGAAATTCTTGTTACTGCTGCTAGTGGTGGTGGCAAAGGTTGTTGTTTATATTGTTGTTGTTGTTTTTGCTACACATTCGTTACTTGTGTAGTAGTATTAAAGTTCTGCTCGCCCATTACACTTTTACTAATCATATCACGTTGTATACCATTCGTACGTCCCCCAAAACCACTACCGCCTTGACGTTGACTATTACCTCCTGCACGTCCAGCCGCACCACCCATACCACCCGCCATTGTCTCATCGTCTTGGGCGACTGGCAGCCATTTATCCAAGAATTTAGGACGAAATAATAGTGTAAATGTTGTACGAAATTGTCGGCTCATCGAACAATAGAGTATAAAATTAATGCTTGAATTGATGAGTGCCAATATGTCCATTAGATCACCTGTGGAGTAGAAGAGGATGTAGAAACAAAACAATAAAATAGATACTTTTAATATATATGTATGTAAGTATGTATATATGTACTCTTAAGACCATTAACGTTAATAAAGGAATAGTAATGATAGTAGGAAGGAATATAATCATTAGATATTTGTAACAAAATAAATGAATGGGTATCAAAGTGCCACTCCAATTGGTTTATAGAAATAATGAAGAAATAATAGAACACATTATCAAAACAAATAGTTCATTTAACCCCTCGGGAGGTTATTGTTTCTGTTTGTTGTCAGATTATTAACTAAATGTAAGGATTTGTTTCGAGGCATAACGTGTACGATAATTGACTGCTGAATCAATGTTGTTGTGGGAGAAATCAATAATTTAAATGGTTTACAAATGTTGGTCTCGTTTATGGTCTAGTATAAGGTCTAGTCTATGAGCTGGTCTAGTCTATGGTCTGGTGTATGGTCTAGTCTATGGGTTGGTCTATGGTCTAGTCCATGGTCTGGTCTATGGTCTGGATTATGGTGTAATCTATGGTCTGGTGTATGGTCTGGTCTAAGGTCTGGTCTGTTGTCTGGCCTATGGGCTGGTATAGTATATGGTCTGGTCTATGCCCTAGTCTATATGGTCTGGTCTATGGTCTGGTCTATGGTCTGGGTATGGTCTGGTCTATGGTCTGGTCTATGGTCTGACTTATGGTCTGGCTTATGGTCTGGTCTATGGTCTGGTATATGGTCTGGTCTATGATCTGGTCTATGGTCTGGTCTATGGTCTGGTCTATGGTCTGGTCTATGGTCTGATTTATGGTCTGGTCTATGGTCTGGTCTATGGTCTGGTCTATGGTCTGGTCTATGGTCTAGTCTATGGTCTGGTCTATGGTCTGGTCTAAGTTCTGGTCTGTTGTCTAGTCCATGGTCTGGTCTATGGCCTAGTCTATATGGTCTGGTCTATGGTCTGGTCTATGGTCTGGTCTATGGTCTGGTCTATGGTCTGGTCTATGGTCTGGTCTATGGTCTGGTCTATGGTCTGGTCTATGGTCTGGTCTATGGTCTGGTCTATGGTCTGGTCTATGGTCTGGTCTATGGTCTGGTCTATGGTCTGGTCTGGTCTATGGTCTGGTCTATGGTCTGGTCTATGGTCTGGTCTATGGTCTGGTCTATGGTCTGGTCTATGTCTGGTCTATGGTCTGGTCTATGGTCTGGTCTGTCTATGGTCTGGTCTATGGTCTGGTCTATGGTCTGGTCTATGGTCTGTCTGGTCTATGGTCTGGTCTATGTCTGGTCTATGGTCTGGTCTATGGTCTGGTCTATGGTCTGGTCTATGGTCTGGTCTATGGTCTGGTCTATGGTCTGGTCTATGGTCTGGTCTATGGTCTGGTCTATGGTCTGGTCTATGGTCTGGTCTATGGTCTGGTCTATGGTCTGGTCTATGGTCTGGTCTATGGTCTGGTCTATGGTCTGGTCTATGGTCTGGTCTATGGTCTGGTCTATGGTCTGGTCTATGGTCTGGTCTATGGTCTGGTCTATGGTCTGGTCTATGGTCTGGTCTATGGTCTGGTCTATGGTCCTGGTCTATGGTCTGGTCTATGGTCTGGTCTATGGTCTGGTCTATGGTGGTCTATGGTCTGGTCTATGGTCTTGGTCTACAGTCTGGTCTATGGTCTGGTCTATGGTCTGGTCTATGGTCTGGTCTATGGTCTGGTCTATGGTCTGGTCTATGGTCTGGTCTATGGTCTGGTCTATGGTCTGGTCTATGGTCAGGTCTATGGTCTGGTCTATGGTCTGGTCTATGTTCTGGCCTATAGTCTGGCCTATAGTCTGTTCTATGGTCTAATCTATAGATTAGCTTTGTAAATAAGCGTGTAGAATGTATAAACATGTATTTTTTCCACTAAATAGACTGTTTTAGACTGTGGTTAAATAATGCATAAATAACTTTTTTATTTACACACAGACACACACACTACTGTAATTTTATATTTCGCAAGCTACGGTTTCTGCTACAAATACAATTTGTCTGTAAAATATTGTTTATTTGTTATATTTAACCTTAACGTACTAATGTCAGTAATAATCTACTGACAATGACTCAAGTTCATAATGGTTAAGACAAGACATAAATCTGTATGTCATTTAATAATTATGTGCGCTTTTTAATGTAATGCAATGAACTTTGAAAATAATCTTAAATATAATTTATTTTAAACAAAAGAAAAAAAAAAACGTTAAAGAAAATATCTTAATGAATTCTTTGAATTAAATAATGATTATATTAAAATGTATTTGATTATCTGTTTGTAATACGCAACGCATGAGTGTTTTCTGTAAATAGTATTTAATATACATCATACGCTTGGTTGTTTAAAATTCTTAACGTGAGATTGCATTTTTTGAGAACACACACACATAAATAATGTGTGTTCGAGTGTGTTGGATTTTGATTTTTGTAAATTTCAATTTAAGAAAAAAAATCATACGCCCTGTTTACAATAGTTAGACGTGACTGTCTGTATTACAAGGTCATTCAGACGTATGAGCGATATTTTGAATTTTAATATTAATCATACTTTTGTTAAATCAGTAATTCGATTTATTTCAATCGCTTGATTAAACAATTTTGTGTTGATAAGAGTGCATTATATTTGGAATAATCAATTTATTTTAAGATATTATTTAAATTGAGTTTAAATATATAAATTCTATGGAAAAGTTTCATTTAATTAGTGTAATAATTTATATAAGTTACTATTTTTTAATAAATTTATTTAAATTGGATAAGTAAATAAAAGTATCCAGTAGTATCCAACATACTTTCAACTAAGATCTCCAAAGGCATAAAGACAGTAAAGCAAATAAAATATGCAACAATATATTTAAAAAGTTTGCACATAGTATATATGTATTATTTTATTAAATATTTATAATCCCTATTAGATTTTCTTTTAAGCATTTTCTTTACTTGCATTCTTGATAATGCCAAGTGCACCTGTTTACGCAAACTAACAAAGTGTACATTTATAAAGAACTGAAGTTAACAATAAATGTAAGTAAATAAATAAACAAATGTGTATATATATTGCTTATTTATTTATGTGAATATATTCATATTAAGGCGTCCCCAAAATTCCTTTTTGTATTATATAAAGAATTTTTGGAGATATTAGAAATACAAGGAAAAAAGATATTTTATATAATTTGAAGGAAGAAAACTGAAATTTTGAGAAATGGCAAGATTTTCAGAAAAAATAATTTTATAAAATAAAATCGTGATATTAAAAACTTGGAAGTTTTTGTGGATATAACCGAAGAGCATGTGAATGAAAAGCACTAACTGACTAACTTGACATAACATTAGCATTAACTAACTAACTAACTAACTAACTGAAACTGAAAAATTTTGAGAAATGGCAAGATTTTCAGAAAAAATAATTTTATAAAATAAAATCGTGATATTAAAAACTTGGAAGTTTTTGTGGATATAACCGAAGAGCATGTGAATGAAAAGCACTAACTGACTAACTTGACATAACATTAGCATTAACTAACTAACTAACTAACTAACTAACTAACTAACTAACTAACTAACTAACTAACTAACTAACTAACTAACTAACTAACTAACTAACTAACTAACTAACTAACTAACTAACTAACTAACTAACTAACTAACTAACTAACTAACTAACTAACTAACTAACTAACTAACTAACTAACTAACTAACTAACTAACTAACTAACTAACTAACTAACTAACTAACTAACTAACTAACTAACTAACTAACTAACTAACTAACTAACTAACTAACTAACTAACTAACTAACTAACTAACTAACTAACTAACTAACTACTAACTAACTAACTAACTAACTACTAACTAACTAACTAACTAACTAACTAACTAACTAACTAACTAACTAACTAACTAACTAACTAACTAACTACTAACTAACTAACTAACTAACTAACTAACTAACTAACTAACTAACTAACTAACTAACTAACTAACTAACTAACTAACTAACTAAGTAACTAACTAACTAACTAACTAACTAACTAACTAACTAAATAACTAACTAACTGAAACTGAAAAATTTTGAGAAATGGCAAGATTTTCAGAAAAAATAATTTTATAAAATAAAATCGTGATATTAAAAACTTGGAAGTTTTTGTGGATATAACCGAAGAGCATGTGAATGAAAAGCACTAACTGACTAACTTGACATAACATTAGCATTAGCTAACTAACTAACTAACTAACTAACTAACTAACTAACTAACTAACTAACTAACTAACTAACTAACTAACTAACTAACTAACTAACTAACTAACTAACTAACTAACTAACTAACTAACTAACTAACTAACTAACTAACTAACTAACTAACTAACTAACTAACTAACTAACTAACTAACTAACTAACTAACTAACTAACTAACTAACTAACTAACTAACTAACTAACTAAATAACTGACTACAAAAGTATACTTTGGTCTCTGAGTTAAAATTTGTCGGCCAGTATTCTTTAAATAATTTTAATTATATTTAAAAACTCTATATTGAATCAGAAATTCCAAGATGGGTAATTTTTCATAAAATATTCCCAAAAATTTTACTTTCGGAATGTCAATAAATTTTAGGTTTACCAAAGTACAAAGTTTTTTGGAGCAAAAGTCTTTCTTGAATACTGGCTTAATTAAAGTTCAAACCTACCAGATTTATATATTTTATTCTTGCTAAAAAAAATTAGTCATTTTTATTTTTTTTTTTTTCTCACCACTAGTGTTTACCACCTTTATACATAAGTTAATCCTCCGGATTATAAAAATAAATATTATAAATCTTCTATGCTTGAACTAAATATGCTTAAATAATTTAGTGATTTTAACTCTTATGAACAAGCACTTAGTTAATCCAACAATGGAAATAAATTGATGGCAATTTTAAACTGAAATATTAAGTCAAATTTCTTTAAGGATCAAAATTCTCTTTAGATTTA